TTTTTACTTAAAACTAAACAAAAAATTTTTTTTTAAATAAATATGATTTGAAATCCTAATGTTTTTTCCAATCTTTTTTATGTAAAGTATGCATTATATATAAATAAAAAAATGTAAGTAGAATTAATATTATTCAATAAACTTTTATTTTAATAATCTTGATAATTTATTTTGTTTTCTTTTAGTTTTTTTATTTTTGACTATTATTGTTGGCTTTTTACTTTCAAATATTTAAACTTTCACTATGTGAATTTACTTATAAAAATGGTCAGCATAATTTCAATAAGTCAATAATTGGAATAATTTGTAGGATGCATGCAAAATGGCTTCATCTGTTACTGAGTTTAAGAATAAGAATTGACAAGTATTTTTTTATACAGAGGCAAGTAGTACATATTTTAATGAAGATATGCTGCACGTTAATTCATGCTTTAGCATCTGCAAATATTGACTTTTTAGATATTTGTTATCAACTTAAACTTTAATTAAGTGAAATCAATCTTTTTTTTCTTTCTCTTGCTCTCAGTTTTGATATCAACTTGTTTGATATGAAATTTATATTCCATGTTTATATTCCATCTTTAGTTTGTGTTCTTACATAGTATTATACTTATATAGTCTTATACTTAAAGTATACAAATATTTGTTATTACTTAATAATATTAGTGTATTTAGCAATATCATAAAATTATATTTCCTATTACTAATTTATATTTTATTGTTATATTGCTTAATTACCCCTATATACTTAAAAACAAAATATTATTTAGTTATCTGAACTTATATTTTTCAGTTATGACTTAAATATAAAGTTTCTCCTTTTAACTTTGTTTAAAATGTTATTATAAAAAGATAGTACATACATTAATAATATATTACACAAATAAATTGACTTACAACTATAAACCTAATTCATTAAATCCTATGCTTTATCATTTCAGTTTTGCTTTATCGTTTCTATTTGTTGCTTTATCATTTTGTTTGCATTATCTTTATATGCTTAGACATTCCTAATAGACTTATATGTAAATCATAAATTTATAAAATTTATAAAATATGGTATTAAGACAATCCTGCAAACTATGCAAAAAAAAAAATCAAAAAACGGTAGAGTCATCCAATGTGACTGCTGCTCTTTTTGAATTCACACAAAATGCAATCTGATCAATAAGCATACGTATAACATTATCTCCAATGACTCTTTAGAATGGTATTGCTCTGACTGTATTTCCAAAAATATACAATTTAGTACCCATTCTTTCTTCCTAACCTTTCCGATCTAGAACTTAAGCTTACACTTTCATGCAAGAATCTTACACTAAAGTTATTAAAATCTCCTGAATCTCTTGCTAACCTAAAAAGTCTATATAGAGATATGAATAATGTATATAATCCAACTATTAATTATAAATATCTTGATGTTACTGAGTTCAATAGTTCTTTAAATCCTGATACTGATATATATCTTCATCTCAATGTTGCTTCCTTACCACAACATATCGGCAATAAGTTATGGAAAAAAAACATTATATTAATGGGTGATTTCAATATGGACTTAATTAATTATAGAGAATCTATTGTTTCTAATTATAGAGAATTTCCTATTGTTTCTAATTATCTCTAAACATTATGCTCTTGCTCACTTCTACCAATCATTATTCTTTCAACGCATATAACTTCAAAAACCAAAACTCTCATTTATAATGTTTTTAAAAACTCCTATTCTCCTGAAACAATCTCTGGCAATCTAACAATTTCTATTTCAGACCACATGGTCCAGTTCCTCTGTATTCCTGGTATTAAACACACAATTATTAACCCACCCCTGGTATTCTTGAATCCATCTCAACCAAAAATGTCATTTATAAAAAATTTGTTGAATCAAGCAATATTAATACAAGAAATCTACTTTTTGTTATATAGAAATAAAATAAGCAATTTAAGTTATATAGAAAAAAAATAAGCAACTTAATTAAAGCATCTAAAAAAATGTGTTATATTTCCTTTTTCAACAACAACCTAAACAGCATTAAGAGAACTCGAAAACGAATAAAAGAAATTATCAACAATCAGACTTACTAAATACAATAACTCTTTTAAACTCAAAATAAATGATAAAGTCATCTTTGATTCAAGCACAATTGCTAATATTATTAAAAATTACTTTGCTACTATCCAAAAGAATCTAATAAACAAAAAAAATTATCCCTAAATATGATTTTAGAAACTTTCTAAAAAATCCTAATGAGACTTCTTTTTTCTTTGAGCCAGTGACTGAAGTTGAGGTTTTGAGTCTCATAATGAAACTTCAAAACAAAAAAGTCTGGGCCCAAGCAGCCTTCCCACATTTATTCTTAACTTATTCCAAACATAATCTTAAAGCCCCTATCCATAATGATAAATAACTCATTTAGACATGGAATTTTCCCAGATCTCCTTAAGATAGCTAAAGTGGCACCAATACATAAAAAAGGTTTTCTACTGGATTACTCTAATTCTTGCCCAATCTCTCTTCTCTCAAATATAAGCAAATTATTTGAGAAAGCTATGCACAATAGACTCTACAATTTTCCGGAGAAATTCAAGTGTCTTTATAAAAATCAGTATGGATTTAGAAACAATCATTCAACAACTCATGCACTATTTGATATAACTGAAAAAATTAGAAAAAATAGAAAAAATTTTCTTGAGCTCCAGAAAGCCTTTGATACAGCTTACTTTGATATCTAAATTTTTCCACTGCTTACCACTTCGCTGATGACACCAATTAAAAGTAGATATTATTATAATCTACTTCTGCTTTTAATAAACAAATCACTTAAAAAGATAAACAAAAATATTAACCATGACTTTGTGATTCTACTCCAGTGGCCTCTATCCAATAAATTATCACCGAAAAATTCCAAAAAAACTGAACTTTTTATCTTTAAAGCAAGTCAAACAAAAATAAAAAAAACCCTGAACTTCAGATTAGGTGGTCAAAAAAAGTTCCTGTAAATTTTATCGAGTATCTTGGTATCAAAATTGATTCCAATTTAAGTTTTGCATCCCATCTTCAAGACTTAGCACTGAAACTGAGCAGATCCAACGGTATGTTGGCCAAAATTCGACATTATCTAAATCTTGAAACGCTCCTTTACATATATTATGCTGTTTTTGAGTCTCATCTTAGATATTCTTGGGGACAATTATTGGGGACAAATATGGGGACAAACCCAATCTCTAACATTTGAAAGATTATCTCACCTCTAAAATAAAGTCCTAAAAATAATTTATTTTTTAGCATTTTAACTCTGACCCTAAATCCTCTACTACATGTCAAAGATACTTAAATTAAAAGACCTTATTCAACACTCTAACTGTTTGTTTGTTTGGAAACAGCAACATAAAACCTTACCTTCTTCATTTACTGATTTTTTTACTTATAAAAAAAATACTCATTACCAACTTCGATCAGCTAAAAGCTTCAAATTATCTATTCCTAAACATAGAACTGTTTATTATGGCCATGAATCTATTAAATATCACAGCTAGTAAGTGACCGGGTCCCCCGCCCCGGCCCCGGCTAAACAAACACAATTCGCAGGGGTTACTAGCTGGGGCTGGATTTTTGTTGTTGTTGTTTTTGTTGCTTTTTTTTTAAATTTTGTCAAGTTAAAATTTTTTATGAAAGTTTAAGGAAATATAAGAAAAAGTCACAAAAATAATATATACAAATATAATATAATTCATAAATATTTACAATGACAAATAAGAAATAAGACACTTTATAATAATTTAAGTTTCTTCCTCTGATTCTGATGATTCTGTGTCCCAGACATCATAGTATTTTGAATTAGGTGGTGTAAAGTCTTCAGGGGCATCACATAAATATGTTGAATAAGAAAGAGCCCTTAAATTGTATTTTAAAAAAAGAAGTGTTTCAACATTCTGTGTTGTAAGTCTGATGCGATCTTTTTGTATTAACTTTGAAACCTTGAACTCCCTCTCATTTGTTGTTGAGCTTGAGGGTGAACATAAATATACTTTTTCCAAGTTTGCTAGCGTTGGCAACTCGCTTTTCATGAGACTCCAATATAATAATGGATCTTCTGAAATATCTATTCGCTTCATTTTTGAATACTTTTGAAGCTCAATTTTAGCAGACTCGATTGCATTTAGATGAAATGTGTCACTTTCTTCATTATCGGACTCATTGTCTACTAAAACTCTGTCCCACATTGATTTAACTGATGACGATTTGCAAACCTTAAAGTAGTAAAATTCTAAATTATTTAAAAAAATCCATATAAAAACTATTTAAAATGTATTCAGTTTCTTGTTTACTATGTACTCCTTAATCTTTTTTATAAAAGATTTTTTTTTTAAACTTATATTAAACTAAACTTCGTTTATTTTATAGTTGATTATGATGTTTGTAATTATTCAACATGGTTTAATAGATTTTATATATATTTACCTGTTCGGTAGTTGATTCTTGAATAATATTACTAGTGGTCGATTCTGCTTGAATATCAGTTTTACTTAGCTGACTAATCATAAGGTACAACAAACTTTCATTTGCTTTTTCAGAAAAAATTTTGTTTTGAAAACCTGCAGTTTTGTATCTAGGATCAAGTAATGTAGCTACTGCCAATAGTTTATTTTCTTCGATATTTGGATAATTTGAACAATTATCTTTTCCCTCAAAATAACTTAATAAAAAATCATAATTCAATCAAGTATCCAACTTAAAGTAATGTTATAAAATCCTAACATTTATATTTTTTGTAAGTTCAAAGTTTCTGAAATTAGGGCAGTTTCACTTTCTGATACTTTGCTAGCATTATCTATTGGACCAAGCATTGATAAAACTTTAGGAATAAGATCCCAATTATTTGGAGTTAACTAAATAAATGAGATTAAAATTAATGCAAATAAAAACTATAAAACTATGGTGTTTTAATCTTAATCAATTACCTTAGATTCCGAGAAAATTTCTAACTCAATGTCATCTTCCGCAAGTTTTATAGCTTGTTTTTGTTGCATTACACAAGCCAACATTAAAAATGTACTCCCCCATCTTGTTTCACAATCAAGTATCATGACATTAGGTAGGACTGATGCTTGGCTCTGGTACTTGGTAAGTATTGCTTTTGCCTTTGGTTTTTCGCAACTTTTTACCCAGCTTTCTTAATCTCAAGTTAGACAAAAAATTATCAACTGTTTTTGATTTAAGTTGAAAAAAGTTAAGAAGTTGAATTGAATACTTTTGAAATGAAGTTAAAATAAATATTTCAAAAACAATTTTTTGGTAAAATTAGATTAAATAAAAACAAAACTACTAATTTGAAAATTTTTTTTACCACTTTACACGTATTAAAAGTTGAACATAATTACCTCATTAGCATTATTTTGATCCCACTCTGCTCATATATTGAGTTTCGTACCACTAAATGTAGTATATGGCAAAAGCAGCCTATGCTTTCAAAACCAGAAAGTTTTTGTTGCTAAAATCATATTGCTTGCATTATCTCTAATAACAATATGAATATTATTTAGTCCCCAATCTTTACAGATGTTCTTTAAAGCTTCTGAAATATTCCAACCAGTATGAGATATTTTGAATGAAGTACATCTGAGGGCTGCAATTTTTTTTTAAAGTCTTCTGTTACCCAATGAGCAGTAAATGACATAAAAGAATCATTACTTGGAGAAGTCCAAATGTCAGTAGTGATAGCATATGCTGTAGCATCAAGTAATGATTTTACTGCATATTGAACTCTTCTGTTGATGTTTGGAACAAGCTTTGTTCAAATATTTTTTCTGATGGTACTTTAAATTTTTTTGACAGATGGTTTATAGTTTTTAGGAACTGGTCATTTGAGACTGTTTTATATGGTTTTAAGGCATCACAAAGCCAATATATCAACAATTGCTCTCCTTTAATTTGGTCAGGATTATTATATCTCCATTTTAAATGCCCTTCTAAGGAGTCTTTAAGAGTTAACTGTTTGGTGTCAAGCTTTTTGTTTAAAACATAATTTTTACCTATTTCTTCTTCATGCTGCTTTTTTTTTTTTCAGTTTCTAAAGTTTTCGATTCACTTGCAGAAGAGTGCTCATCTTTGTGTTTTGACTGCAAATGAGTCCATAATGATTTTGTTGAAAATTTTTTTGAAGGAGCACCAGTCGCTCCTCTTTTAATTTCAACACTGCATATGTTACATTCAGCAACCTCTGGTTGCCCATGGGCAACATTGAAATAACTCCATACTGCTGACACTTCTCTTTTAGCCATTATCTAAAATAAATTGAATTGAATTATATTGAATTTAAGTATATGATATTTATAACAAGTAAGTTTTATCATAGCTTAATATAAAAACAATATATTTTATTAATTTAAAGAAAAACTAATTAATAAAATAATAAAAAATGACTAAGACATATGACAAAGATTTCATAGTTAATTAATTACCTTCATTTTTTTATAACTAATATTACTACTATTATTACTTTTGTTAATAACTTTAATAGATAAAGATTTTATTGAAGAAAAGAAGTAGAGAGGTATTGCTAGATAAATTATAAAATAATAATACTAAAAACAGTTAGTTTAAAAGAAATTGCTATAAATTTAATAAACCCTACCTTTTTGCAGATGGCTTCAATAATATATGAATGATAAAAGTTGCTCTTTTTATACAAGTCAAAAATAAGTAAGCCAGACACATATTATTTATGTTGCTATAACAACAGTATTAAACTAGTAATATTGGAAATTTTTACAGACAAATGACTTATTTTTAATGAATACTCTGTTTTTACCAGTTAAAAAAAGGAAGTTAAAAAAATTGATTTCCTGTTGAACAAAAGAAAAGAACAAAATACTAATTAATTTTTTTTTTTCTAGGCATATTATGTAAATGTCAATGTTTATGTAATGCCAAACATTTGAAAAATCAGACATAAAAAGTCAGATACAGTTATTAAATGCAATTAAACCAATTAAAATGTTACCAAATTATTTTAACTATTTTATTAAATGTTTATTATTACTTTTATTATTAATTTTTTTTATAATTTTAAATTTTTTAAATAGCTTTAACAAAAATAAATTCAACTATTTTCTAGTATTTATCAATTTCTTTACATTTAAATACTTGAATAGCTCAACTATGTAATTCTAATGATTAAAATTACAATTAAAAAGTTACTTACATTTTAAATGTAAATGCAATTTTACAATAAATTTATCTTATGAAATTTATTTTAGGATATTTTAAACACCCTGATTGTTAGCAATTTTTAAATATTTCTTCAAATCAAAAATTTCAAATAATCAATTTATTACATGATGGCCACTGAATTTTCTAGAATATCCAGGTTGCTGGCTTGTTTGTTCTTACATCCGGAAAGAACAAAGTAGATCAGATGGATATATGGTGTCTTTAAAAGATAGAAAAAAAAGCAATGATCTTAGAGATAGTATAAGAGTAGTAATTATATTTATAGTGTGTATCAGAGAAGATAATAATGATGCTAATGATTAAGATGATGATGATGATCATTGTCATCATCATCATCAGAATCATCTTAATCATCATCATCATCTGTATGCTTGATGATGATGATGATGATGATGATGATAATGATGATGATGATGATGATGATGATGATGATGATGATGATGATGATGATGATGATGATGATGATGATGATGATGATAATGATGATGAGATGATATATATACCTTTATATAAAATATACCATGAGTTTTAAATAACAATAATATATTTATAAGGAATATCAATATTAATGCAGCCCCGGTCACAAACCCCGCCCCGGCTATGTTTTATCAAACCCGGCCCCGGTCAAATATCAAACCCGGTCACTTACTAATCAGAGCATATGCACATGGAATTATCTTCCCTCACAGTTAAAATCTTTCCCTACATTTTCCAAATTCAAAAACAGTCTATTTAATTTTTTATTAAACAATTATTCTTCCTAATTCTTATGCTACTTTACTGGCAATTATCTACTATCCAACTTTATTAGCTTTAATGCTGGTTTATAACTACTAATACTTGATCTTTTTTAAAAATCTTTTCTCTACTTTCTTCATTTCAATGGTTTATTATTACTAATACTTGCTCTTTTATAACTTTTTATCAAATTAATATTATCTTTTATATCACTATTCTATTTCAAACTCTCACTATTATAAATATTGCTATTTTTATTATTGTTATTATTACTATTGCTATTATTTCAATTATAGTTATTATTATTATTGTTATTATTATTATTATTATTATTACTACTGATACTTATGTTACTATATTATTTATGTTGTTACTGTATATTATTATAATATACTTCTCTTTTATTGCTATATTTTAATTAGGTATATAAAAGTCTTATATTCTAGGTAGATGTATAAAAGTAAATTGAAATTTTGTCCTAAATAGATCAAACTTCTTACTTAATTATTATTCCATAAAATTTTTTTTTAGTACTTGTACTATCTATATAATAATACTAAACTTAATAGTAGTAGTAGTAGTAGTAGTAGTAGTAGTAGTAGTAGTAGTAGTAGTAGTAGTAGTAGTAGTAGTAGTAGTAGTAGTAGTAGCGTCCTTTCAAGCCTGTTTGACACAGAACTCTGCCATTGTTCATCTCCCAAAACATCGCCATTACCTCGGTTGCCATTGCAACCGAGGTAATAGCAAGAAAGAGTTGTAGCAGCTTTTTTTTATAAGAAAAACTATAGTAAACTTCAAATTATGTAATGTTAAAACATACTAAAACATATATCAAGTTTTACAGTTTTACTTTTGCTTGAAATTTGCATTACATCAACCTCTCCTTAATTTTTGATCTACAGCATTAATTTTCGTTAAAAAAATTTTTATATAGTCTTAAAATTTCTATCATCAGCGTGCCAGCATGGCCAAGTAGTTAGCGCGCTGAGTTTCTGATTAAAGTAGCCGTGGTTAAAGTCCAACCACTGGCGACCTTTTTTTTTAATTTTTTTTAGATTTTCCAAATAAGAAATTAAATACAAACATATCTAATGATATTATACACTTTAACAAACAAAAAGATTTTTAAAAAAGCTAAAATTTCTAAAAACATTAAAAAACGGGGAGATATTTGTTGAGTATGTGTCATAATTAAGATACTTATGTTATTTTAGTTTTACATTTCAAGTTTTTTTTACAACTAAGTTGAGTTTGTGCAAGAAAATTGAGTATACAACATGTTTATATATAGAATATAAAATCTATAGAACTGTAAAGTTGTTTTGTTTTGCATTTTAAATAACAAAAGTTAAAAAAATAAAGCCAGCTGATGACGCCACGCAGCGACCGCAACTTTTTTTAAAACAGTAAGAGGGTTTAAAAAGTATGTTTTATATAAGAACATAATTGAAAATTCTAATTTTATACTGAAATTAAACCATGTTATTAAATTAAATACTTTTAAGAATAATTAAAAGTTAAAGTTATTTAATATTGATACAATAAAGAAATTTAGAGTTTCACAGCTATTTTACCATGCCCCCGTTAAATATTCTGAACTGAGTGCGCAACTAGATAAACATCAAAATAGTATTATACTCCATTATTTTTTTGCTTTATATACTTTTTGGCTGATCCCTAATCTAAATTTTTAAATAAGGGGTAGTTCATAAATTATGCAACTCTAAATTTCGCTAATGAACAAAAAAAAGATCAAAATTTTCCCTCGCAGAGTCGTATGTTAAATAAAAAATCAAAATAGCTCATCAAGTTTAATGAAAATCACCACCTAAAAGAACTAAAGATCTCCTTCTTTTTTAAAAATAAGTTTAGCGTTGATTAATTTATGGACCATCCCTTAGCGTTTTATAGTCTATAGTTTTTAATGGCCTAAGATCTTCTAAGTTCTGCTATTTGAATAGTGTTGCGTACAAACATATGTAAAAGTAAATGTCTTTATCATATGTTGAGTTTGCAGGCAATATATGGTACAACCGTGTATAAAAAATCTATGAAAATGAGAAAACTTTTGAATTTTAATTTAACAATTAAAATTTTTTTTTTGTTATACAATTATTTTTTTGCTATAAATATTGCTATAATTGTTATAGATTTATACTATAATAAAAATTTTGCTATAAATATTGCTTTAAGCACAGCAAGATTGAAAAATATTCAAAATTTATTAGGGGAGTTCTTTAATCCCCCAAAACGACACTGATGACAGCGCACTAAACCACTGAGCTATCAATGATATGTGTTTAGGAGAAAAACAAGTCTAAATATAAATCTTTTATTAGCTCTAGGTATGCTGAAAGGGTGTGCATGTTAATTTTTTGTTTATTTTTAAGGTATTAATTTTTTTGCTCTTAAATCAATTTTTTTAAATGAATTATTTTACGTAAAAATATTGAAGCAAACAAATCATATGTATATAAATGATCAGTGTGAAATAGTTAAGGAAAGCCTATAAGGAAAAAGTCAGGAAAGCCTATAAGGAAAAAGGTCAATGTGTGGAATAGACTTACTAAGACTCGTATTTTTACGGGTCAGATCAACTAGTATGTAAATATTCCATTTACATACTAGTTGATTTGAAAAAAAAAATGCTTTTTTTTTACATATAGTTTATATTTGACTACACTATACATTTTTGTTTAATTTATTAGTTTTATTTTTGTTTAATTGGTTGTCATTTAATCTAAAAAAACCTATTTTAACATAATACTATAACAATTAGAGAAATTAAGTTGAATTTGTTTTTATTAGCAATAGTTCATTTAGGTAATTTTGTAATAAAAGAAGATTTATTTTGTACATGCAACAATAATTATGGATGATGGAAATAGTGTCAATCACAATAATAAACAATTTGAATGTACTCAATGCAAACTCATGTTTAAATATGATAAATATTGCCAGCTAGTTAATTTAACTAGTAATATTTTTTTTCTTGAAGAAGTATACTACATAAATAATCCTTTTGATAATTCAGTTTCGATTCCATTAGTTCTTGGAGCAAATTGTTCTGTTTGTTGCTGTACCATTTGTGTTTCATCAAGTTGCAGTGTGTTTTACACAAAAAGGTTTTGTCGAAATTGTGTTGCCAAGAGCCTAGACTGTTTTCCTGTTGAAGTTATTAAAGATTTAAAGTTGTAATTTTTATTTACTTGATAAAAAAATTATGTTAATAATCAATATTTATATAATTATTAATAATAAAAATATATAATTATCAATAAATAAAATAATAAAATATAATCAATATATTTGATGCTGTCAAAGAAGTCATTGTTATTTTTTTTTTAATTTTTTAAATTCTCTTTCTTATATTCTATAACTTTTTTAACACAAACCTTGGCAGAAGTGGTTGACATGGCAGATGTGTTTGTTAGGTGAAGAAACAAGTTGAGCAGGGTACTTCCAGGGGCATTTTAGTTTTAAAGTCTTTGCCTTTTTCTTACTAAGCAATCACTCTACCACTCAACTTTTTAAAGAATGTATTTTTGGATTTTTGTATATTTATGTATGTAATTATTTATTTTGAAAAGTTGTATTATTTTTATTTCTTTTAAAATGAAAAAAATTGTATGGGCAAGATATACAAGTATATTTTTTTATTATTTTTAGCAAACAATAAAAACAGTTCTCTGTTGAATGAACAAACTATTATTGTTTTATGTTTAATTTTAACTTTTTATAAACATGAGCTTGTAACTTTTTAAACAGTTTTTGGTGATTATCTAAAGTATAATAAATGGTGAAGACTGTATTTTAGATAATTATTTAAAATACAGTCTTAAATAATTCAATATTAAGACATGAATTTAAATAGTAAAAAAAAATTTTTAAATTTTATTATTTAAATAGTTTGGTGACTTTTGACATCTGCTGCTTGGGACAAACTTTGTTTGAATTTATATAAAAACTTCAAATTATATAAAAACTTCAAAAATAATATTATTTTATAAAAAAAACATCAATAAAATAAAATATTATTTTAAAAACTTTGTAAAATAATTTTTTTTAATAAATTAATGATTATTTTCGAAATTTTAATATAATTTCTCTTCACTTCAGATCCAAATAAGTGTCGGACATCGGAGCCCCTTGAATTGTTTTTGAGATCTGTTTGAAGGGGGCTGCTAACCCATGTTCGTTTTTACTGAAAAAAACCAGCAATGGATTGTTGCACTCTACTAGCAGGTCTCAAGAATGGTCCACGTGGTGACGATGTCTGACACCTATTTGATATATATCCCTGTAAATATATATATATATATATATATATATATATATATATATATATATATATATATATATATATATATATATATATATATATATATATATAATGTATATGTATATATATATATGTATATATATATATGTATATATATATATATATATATATATATATATATATATATATATATATATATATATATATATATATATATATATATGTTTGTATGACAGTCTTATAAATTGACAACCATTTTAAATAATAAGTTATCTATTTTTTAAAGCATTATAATAAAAAAGGTTCTGCAAAATGTTTCAATGCCTTGATGCCCAAAGTGAGAATATATCTACTCCTAGTCAGCGTTCTCTTTCAATTGACTTGCCAGAGCTAATATCTGATTCTGATGATGAACAAAACATGAGATCATCATTATTGCCTAATTTAAGTTACCATGAAGAAGAAGAATCCAGCAGATCAACAGCATCTGATTCTGACTCAGGTTATGCAGCTCCTAAAATGTTTAGTAGTTTATAGCATTTTCAATTTTAGTATTAATAGGTTTAAAAGTTTTTAAATTATGAAAATTTGATTTTTTTAGATGATTCCTCTGCAGCTCCCTATTCGATAATGGATGATTTTTCTGATGATTCTTCATCTGATACTTCAGAAGATGATTTTATGTTTGATGGATATTTATCCGATGATTCTTCGATTGGTGATTGTAATGAAAAAACATATTTTCTTAAAAGTTCTAGCTAATTATTAAGATGAAAGTTAAAAATATATAAATCAAATGTAATTTATACAAAAAAAATAAAAATAATAAAAAACTAAATCAGTTTTAAAATTTTTTTAAAAATAAAGTATACATAAATATAAAAAAAAAAATAAAAGAGAACTGTTAGAAAATTATTGTTTTCACATTTCTTTTAGATGAATATGTTGGTGAAATGGGTGTTTTAGAGGTCTTAATTTTTGTTACTGTGTTATTTCTGTTTAAAATATATATGCTGTATATGTTTCTCTCTCTCTAATTCTGATTTGTTTGACAACAAGTTACATCATTTTTAATTATTTTAACCTTTACCCAACATTTCCATATTGTCTAAAAGCCAAAACTGTTTAAATAACCACAAACTTAATTGACTTGAATTTTTTTTTTTTAATACAGAATGCAATTTTTTGTTTGTTTGTTTTTTGATGTTTTAAACTGTTTTTATTTTTAAATTTTATTTGTTTTATTTTTGAAGTGAACATTCAAATGACTAAAATAGGTAGAACATGTGAGGAGTGTACATATATTGCTTAAAATGGGTAGAACATGCAAGGAGTGTACGTGCATAAACTGGAAGAACATGTAAGAAGTGCCAATATATATTGACTCAATGTTTTAACTAGCAAATGCAATTTTTTTTATCAAAAAAAAAAAAATTCTGGTCTTGTTTTTTATATTTTTTATTATAAAATCAAAAAAATTATGTTATATATATATATATATATATAAATATATATATAAAAAATATATATATATATATAAAACTATGTTATATATATATATATATATATATATATATATATATATATATATATATATATATATATATATATATATATATATATATATATATTTTAAACATCTTTGCTTCCAACAAGGCTGCAAGCAACCACTAATTAGTGTTGGAAGTTACTGGAAGAGAAAAGATGAAGATTGTAGAGCATGATAACGATTGACAGACGACTTTTTGCAAGTTATATGAATCAGGAAAGCAAGATGAAGGAAGCAAATTCCAAAGAACTGATGTTCGAGGAAAAAAACTAGAAGAATAAGAGTTTTTGGAGCACTTAGGAACAGTTACAGAAAACGGATGAGACTTAATTGAATATACTTTTGATGAATATTTATACAAGTATATAATTGACAAGTAACACGATAATGAATTTTAGTAGATGGCACCAGAGACGCTAGTGCTTTAGAGCAGTGCCCATTATAGTATTTGTAGAAAAGAGAAAGAAAAGCAACATTACGACGATGTGATAATGGTTGAAGGTTAGCTGCAAGAGCCAGTCCAACTATGTTTACAAAGCGTTTTTGCACCTTGTCTAAAAGAAAAAGAGCATCATTAGAAGATTCGCCCCAGATATGGCAACAATATTCCATACAAAGCCGGATTTGAGATTTATAGAGATAGAGAATGGAAATCCAGAATAAGAAAGTGTAGAGCTCTATAAAGAGAAGCAACTTTAGCAGATGCTAATTTTGCAACAGATTTGATAAATGGTTTCCAAGAAAGATCAGAAGTAAGAGTTAATCCTAGAAGATGAAGGGTAGTTGACTCATCGAGTACATTTCCATTCATAAATATAGGAAGGTCTAAATTATTGTGATAACGATTAGCTGAAAAAAATTCAGTTTTGTCTCAATTAAAGTTCATTAGCCACTGTGAGCCCCATGCTGTAGCAGAAGTAAGATCTTTTTTAAGCTCAAATGCCCCCTGCAAGCAATCAGAGAGAGTTGACTTTTTATTATGACAAGAATAAATGATAGTATCATCAGAAAACAATGCTACCTTAGATGAGAGATTATCTGGAAGATTATTAATGTGAATTAAAAAGAGTATAGGGCCAAGGATTAAACCATGAGGAATCCTTGAGGTTACAGAATAAGAAGAATAGTGCTGTCCATTAAGGACAACTTTTATACTACGATTGGAAAGGAAGGATTCAATAATCTTAAAGATGTTTACAGATTACATCATAAGAAGAAAGCTTTTGGAGAAGACCAGCATGCCAAACTTTATCAAACGCTTTAGAAATGTCAAGAGCGATGGCTTTAACCTCTCCACCTTTATCTAGATATATAATGCACGATAAAACCTATTGGTTATTACTGTTAGCATATCAGCCATAGAACGAGAAGATCGAAATCCATATTAATGATCAGAAAGTAAGTTATTAGATTCAAGATAAGAGATTAAGTGTTTGTTAATTAAAGATTCAACAACCTTGCTTATGATAGGAAGAAGACTAATGGGACGGTAGTTAGACGAATTAGATAGCTCTCCAGAATTTTTGAAAATAGGGATAACAGATGCTGCTATTCAGCAGGCTGGAAAACAAGACTCTTATAAGCACTTGTTGAATAGTTTTGAAAGGATAGACAACAGCTCCGGAGAACACTTCTGCAAAACTATAACAGGTATGTTGTCCGGAGTGATACAAATGTCAAGCAATAGATCAACCTGTTTGATGGCTGTATCAGGTAGTTACTCTTACTCTTATTATTAATACTATTAAAGATTCTCCAGAAGTCACGAGAGCCTAATTTTTGTGATGAAATATGAGATTTCATGACCTGAGAATAGCAGGCTTTGGTTTTAGACAAAACCTTTTTACAATGGTTCTTAGCAGTAAAAAACAGACGTCTGTTTTTTGGAGAATTGTTTTGCTGATAGATATGGAAGTAATGGTTTCCATTGGCAATTGCAGCAGCACAATGTGAGGAAAACCATGGAGAAGAGTGAGGCTTGACCTGGAATCGTCAAATAAGAATAAAGGATTCCATGCCAGCCTGAATCCACGAAGTTATCTAAGAAGTACATTTGTCAATAGGAAAATGAAAAATTTCTACCCAAAGACCATCATGAAGAAAATCATGGAAAAAGTCCCAGTCAGCTTTAAGGTAGTTGTAAGATGTACAATGATAGAGGGATTCTTATGATGAAGTAGAATGAGATAATAGTTTTAGAGAGATCAAATTGTAATCAGAGACACCTAGGGGTGATTGTGGAGAAATTGAGCACTGACTAGGATCAGAAACAAGACATAAGTTGAGTAGAAAAGGTAAATGATTCGGGTTATCTGGAAAGCGAGTTGGAAAGTTGACTATTTGAGTTAGGGATTGAGAGAGGCAAAAGTTGTGGGCCTTAATGCCTGCAGAGTCACTGACACTAGAGCCAAGCCATTCAGTGTGATGAACATTAAAGTCACAGACAACAACAATATTGGCTGATGGATAAAGAATGAGGGCTTGGTCAATATAATCAGAAATAACATCAAGAAGAGTGCAGTCTTGAGATGAAGGAGAGCAATATAGTACAAAGAGAAAGGTGATAGAGTAAAGTGGTGTTAAACGAAAGCACATATAAGAGTAGTCTGTGGGTTTAAATCTAGTTTCCCGACAAATGGGTGAATTCTTACGAATGTAAATGCCCAGGCCAAGCATGTGACTATTGAAGTCTTTACGAGTTAAAGGAAGATAACCATCAACACTAAGATCACAAGATGAGACAGCTGAACTCAAATTAGTCTCACAAAGAGCAAGTAGGTCTGGTGAATTTTGCAAGAGATAAGACTCAGCAGAAGAAAAGTTACTTCGAAGACCACGAATATTAGTGAATGATAGGTTTAGCGAACTTGGTGATGACAGTGGTTTTTTGTTTTTTATAGTTTTTGTTACTTTATTCATTTTTAAATTTGTTAAAGAACTTGATTCGAAACATAGATAATACTCAGTGCACTGTTTAATAGCCCAAGCAATTGTCTCATTACTATTAATAAACCCTAGGCCCAAACAAAGGGTTCCAATGTGGCCTTGCCGATGCGCTACAAAAGTAGAAACAGGGACACCATCCAAGTGCAACATGGCACTGTTAATACTTTGATATTTTTCAGCTGTTGATAGAATCAACCTGATTACCAGCCGGCCTCAAAACCATAAAACTGAGTTTAAGAGCTGTACCCTCATAAGGAGATAATAGAATGAGTTGCCTAGTCATAAAAACAGAGACACAAGCAAAACCCATGCATCGAGTCAAGAAGATCTAGCATTCAACATCCTAAACTGTAAATAATTAGCCTAATAAAGAAGAAGGGGTGTGAGGCTGGTCAACAGATAGAATTTGTTTACCCCTTAAGTCTTTGCTTAGGAGGCCTTCTACAAGACATCAGGCGGATACATTTAACATCTGCCCAAGATGAGTATTTCTATCTAGACACTAACTCTAGCCTTTACTCAACCAATAGCCCCAAGGCAGTGTGTGTTATGTCTGAGTTGGCATCTCCTAGTCTTTGCCTAAAAAGGTATATCCTAGAAGGCAGCAGGACATGAAGCAGATTGTACTAGGTTACATGTTACCAGTAGCAGGATAGCCTGACCTGACAAAATAGAGGGTTTTATCATATTTTGTTTTCATAATAAAAAATATATAAATGTATATTTATAATTTTCTTGAATTTATCAATCACTGCTGAAAAAAAGAAAGCCCTAGTAGAAAAAAATAAAAGAGAAGTTAAAGCAAGTAAAGCAGTAAATTTCTTCGAAATTCTAGGTTCATCTGTTGAATTTCTGAAAGACAATTGAAAAATCTAGTCTGAAACTGTTAGTTACTTAAATAAGTTGTTTGTGAAGGCTGAATAAGTTGTTTGTGAAGGTTGTTGATACTGAACATGAAGAAGCATTGATCTAGGAATTCAATGCGATCCTAACTTAAAACAAAGAACAGATAAATTTAGCTAATTAACTCTAATTACTGTGCCACGGCTACACAATTGGATTTATTGAGTAAAATTCTTATTTATTAGTATGTGCCAAACCCAAACATATAGTTTTCAAACTTTTCAGAAAGTGTGAATGTGGTTTCAGGTAGCCTTTTGACTACTTTTGTATTAGTCAGCAAGTTCATAGGTAGCTCAAAAAAACATGAGTTCCTCTGAACTTCTACAAGCATGTGTGAACAGAACTTCTACAAAACCTTTAATACTAATTTTAACACTTAAATGCTCTGAATATATGTTGCAAATATTTTTGCACTATATATTCATAAATATATATATATATATATATATATATATATATATATATATATATATATATATATATATATATATATATATATATATATATATATATATATATATATATATATATATATATATTATATAAATGAATATATTGCAACTTATATTCATCATATCTGTTCAAAGATTATAAATTGTTTTGTTAAATTCTTAAACTTTGTAAATCACTAATGTTATGTTATTATGGAATTGTTTATACTATGTCATTAATAACAATTGTTGTATTGAAATTTCTAGGCTTTAAATCAACAGCTGGAAGCATTCAGCAATATTATTCCTTCATTTTTTGGAGTTTCTTTACAGGTTTGTTTTTATAAAATAATAATTATTTTCAGTTTTTTATTAATAATCTTTTTCTTGCTTAAAAGCATTGATTTTTATTTATTTTTTATTTCTTAATTATTAGACAAGTTTAAGACTCTGACCAGAAGGACCACCACAATTATTTCTTTTTTTTTTGTAGATTTTTGTATTGATTAAAATGATTTTGAAAAGTGAATAAATATTCAAGATGATTGTAATTTTATTACATGTAAGTTAGGGTGGAGTGTACACCACCACCACCCTAATATAAGGGTATTCAAGATAATCTTCAAATTTTGTACACCTACTAAAAAAAAATTTTAGTAGGTGTACAAAATGAAGGAATAACAAATTTTTTACGATTAAGAAAATGTTTGTCTTTTATACAAAAATTTGCTTGGTTTTTAAGACTGTTTACTGTTTTTATTTTGATATTATAAAAGTTAGTCTATTATCCGTTCATAAATATAAAAATATATTCAGCTGTTATATTTGTTTATACAACATATATAATATAGCTACCTGCTTTTTTTTAATTGTATGCTTGTAATAAATGTTTAAAAAGACATGTAAATAATACAACTAAACAAATGATGTTTATTTTTTTAACTAATAAAATTTTAATGCTAATTTCTTGAATATTTTTTAAAATTGTTTTTGTGTATATTTGTAAATTTTCAACTGACATAATTATATAGTGTATTGCTTTTCTCCTCCTCCTGTGGTAAATTTATGATATTATAAATGTATAGTTATAAAGCGTTATAAAGTATGCATTTTATGTATGAAATGGCGATTTTACCTATACCCTTAACATAAACTTTAATCATTTCAAATATTTAAATTGTTTTTTTTGCATTGTTAATGCAGCGTTTATTTATATTAAATTAATTATTGTAAAAAATTTATTTGGGCGCATTATTTTGGGTGCCCATAGTGGTCAAAAAATTAGGAATTATATCTGGGTACTGCTTGACTGTTTGTATTGCTGTTTGTTTTCGTCTATTTTTACGATGTTGTTTGATGGAATTTTAATTAAAATATTTCACTTTGTTATAACAGTTTATAATTTTATAAAATTGAATTCAATGTTTTTCACCAAATTAATTTTTTTAAATATTTGTAATAACTTGTTTTATTTAATGATGCAACTAGTTTAGTTGCTCTGCATTAGACATTCTATAGTAAATACTTTTTTCAATAAAGATTCAGCACTAAAGGGGGTGAAACATAACACACCAATGAAACATTAAGTTTTTAACATTATTATATTAATTATTAGGATGTATAAATTATAACATAAACTCTTATATTTAGTTTTAATTTTTGCTCAAAAATATTTTTATTTTGATTACTCGTGTTTTTTTAGATGTTATATGGAAGATTAAATAGTCACTTATTTGGAGATGATGATAAACCAACTCCTCAACATATTTTAGACTCTCTTCCGAGACTCAAAGTAACAATTGCTCAATTGGGTTGGTTTTTGATTTTAATTTAATTCAATATCAGCTTCTATAGCTAAAATATTTTAATTTCTAAAATTTTACTAAAATATTTTTATAATTACATCAAAAGTTTAAATACTGGTTATTATAAAGTATTTGAAAATAGTATAAATAAGTTTTAGACATAAATTATGTTAAATATGTTTAAAAATGAGTTAATTATGTTAGAGTAAAGTAGGGTGATTTCGACTTATGAAGTTATTTTATTGTTTATAGATAATTGTTCCTTTTATAACAGCAATAAGTCACGCATATTGATGTCATGAAGATATATCTATAAAAAATAATTGCAAAATGTTTCAGAATTTTAAACTTTCTTTCAAAACTTTTATTTTATAATATTAAAAAATGGCAAAATTAGTGCCTTAATATAGTAATTTCAGCACAATGGTGCAGCAAATTCAGCATATTTAAAGTAATAAAGATTATTAAAAAACAAATTGATAAATTTAAAATATCATAAAGAACTTAAACTCTGCTTATAAAATAACTTTCTGTAGCAATTATTTTACTACACGAAATTGAAGTATTAAGGGCATTATATATATATATATATATATATATATATATATATATATATATATATATATATATATATATATATATATATATATATATATATATATATATATATATATATATATATATATATATATATTATATATATTATATATATTTATATATATATATATATATTTATATTTTATATATATATATATATATATATATATATATATATAGATACATATATATATATATACATATATATATATATATATATATATATATATATATATATATATATATATATATATATATATATATATATATATATATGTATATATATATATATATATATATATATATATATATATATATATATATATATATTAGGGTGTTTCAAAAAAATGACTTTTTAAAATTTCAACTAACATTGCTTTTCATATGGTGCCCCACCATTGATGTTACTAAAAAAAAAATTTTATCACATTTGGACCACTCTATCAGTTCGCGCAATGGGTCCCAAGTTCATTTTTAGGCCATTTTTGACCCTTTTTTTAGTCAAGTTGCGGAGACCCTTCTCATGGATCAATTTTGAAAAATTAAATTTTTTTAGACAATTTTATGCATAAGAATTAAATTAAAATCCAATGTTAAGCTTTATTTGTTTGAATAATGGGTCAATTAAACAACTACATTTTTCGAAAATGTTGATTTTTTTCCTTTTTTTGCTTTTTAATAAGGTCTTTTTTTTTTTACAGTCGGACTTGTTTCTCAATATTTGACGTTTAGCAGCATTTGTTATCTTTTAATAATACCAGAACATAAAAAAAAAAAGTACCAGAACATAAAAAATAAAGCACAAATATTTAGAGAGAAACGTTTTCAAAATCAGTTTTCTTCTTTCTCTTTCTTCCACTCTTGAACTTATTAGCTACAAGGAAAGTGTTCTGTCTCTTCTTCTCCTTGTGGGATTTGTTGATCAGCTCCTAGTTAAAAATAAGTTATGCCTGTTGAAATTACCTTTATAATTTCTACAATAGGTTTAAATTTGATAATTTTTTAAATTGTACCTGAACGAGTTTCACAGCTCTCTCACTGCAATCATTAACTACTTCCAAATTTTTGACAAAATGTTTAAACTCCAGATAATAATCATTCAGGTTCCATGTCTCAACAGGAGTCTTTAACCACTGTAATTCTGCCTTCCCATGGTTCAAGAGATGAAATATGAACCAACTCTGTTCATTTATCCACCTGCTGCCTTTGTACAACATAATTCTCAGGCCTTGGCATGGAATGTAGCTTCTTAGCAATCTCGCCACTGTCATGGATCTCCTCATCAGCTAAAGCCATTACAACAGCGGTAGGATCAATGTACCAGGTGTGTCTCTTCAGTGAGTCAATAACAGGTTTTGCCTGCTCAGGTTTGACATCAGAGTACCTTATCATCTGCCACAGAGCTTTCATATCCTAAAAACTAATCTTTAGATAGCAAAATACTAAAAAGAATAATTTTTATTTAAACTTTGTTACGTTTTGAATAATAAGGAAATAAAAATTACAGTAAAAAACCCTGAGAGGGAGCAATTGCTGGAATTTCCGCCCTGAGAAACCATTCAGTGTAAAACACTGCAGTGAAGAAGGCCATATCTTTGATTTCTTTCTTCTCATGGGCCTTGAGATTGGGAATGTTATCTAATAGAAGGAACATCTTCATAAAGTATATCTCCAGATAGCACCATTACTGTGAGTTCGGCTAACTCAAGATAATCACACCTGCATCCATTCTAAATATAAATACTTATTTTTATAATAAGCAATTAATCAAATTGAATTTTCACATTTAAAGAAGCCATAAAAAATTAAGATTCATTCTTTACATTTTTAGTTTTGATATCTGATACTAATAATTTGTTTATTTTGCAAAGCGCCAGGAGCTATTCACATTAAATAAGTTATTATTATTCTAAGCTGCGATTTACCAGTTAATGGATTTTTATTTACTTGACAGTTGTTTAAACTACTTTAAATGACATTAAAATTAATTTATAATTTAAAGTACTGACCTTTTTCATCTTTTATATCTTTATAATGTTTTCAGAGAACTCCAAAGCTTTCTTGAATTGATCCTGCAACTAGTTGTCAGTAATATCCTCAATCTTCATTCTGTTTAGTACAGTAGAATCATGATCCAATGAGTTTCAAACAAGCTTAAACCTTTTAAAAAAAGGATTGTCTGGTCCATTTGTGTTACTGCTGGGATAGATGTTCCAACAGTGAACAATGTGTCTTTCATACACATGATATCTGCATGCTAATAGAAGTAGAGGTCTTTCAAAACACATCCGTGAAACTTGTCAGTAATCTCAAATTGGTTAAGAAGTTCCAAGATTGCTGTTTTCTGCTCCCCTCCTGTACTTGAAGTTAAATGTGGAATACCAAGTAGCTTTGTCTGTCCATTTATCCTAATTAATACTGCAAGTCTGTGATGTTGCAATTCTTTCCCATCTGTGAATTCTTTAACAATCTTGCTATCAAAGTGTAGAATTATTGGGGATGCTGATGACTGCGCAAGAGTAAAAATTTGTTTTCTAATCTTCTCTCCTTCTTTGGTCAAAACTTTTTCTACAGCTCTAAATGATGTTGTACTTGACACAACAAAGTTTGACACAGAACCTCTAGAGTTTGCAATGATACTGGACACAATTGCAATGTGCAGTCTAGCAGACAGTCCCTCTCCTATAGCAGTAAGTGCTGTTTTCTGTAGAATATCTTTTATAAGGAGAATCGATGAGCCAGATTCATCTTTGTCAATAACTGCTTCAAGGTCTGAGTCAGAGTTACTATCATGACTACTTGCAGAGCTGTGTGAAATGTTAAGATCATTTGCAGTGTCTCCTGCACTTTTCGTGGTAGTCAAATGCTTCTTCTGTGATCTTTCAACAGCATATGAAAAACTTTTATCTTTTGTTCCAATTATTCCTTTCCGTTCTTCCAGCTGATCCAAGATAATATCTTCCTCTATTATAGCAATATCTTTTGCTCCATAAGTCCTCTTCTTATCTTTCCTGATCTTATCAATCAGTTCTTCAGGATTTGTACTTATCCAAAAGCATTTCAGAAGATCCTAAAGAAAATTTTTTCTCGACTTAGTATTTGATGGACCATTTCTGTGACGACTCTTCTTTAACATGTTGTAATAATCCACTGTGTTCTGAATCTTCACCCTATACATTGCAAATAAAAAAATTAAGTGAATTTCCATTTTATAAAAATACCCACCTTAAACAATTATTTTTAAATAAATACTTTATATACAATGTAAAGAACGTAATAAAATGACATAAATGTTTCTACTGTGTAAATATAAATCGTAAATTGAACTAAAGGTTAAAAAATACAGTACTTATTTTAAACATAAAAAAAAAAAATTGAAAGGTTTGCCTTATATTGTCCATTGTTATTAGAGGAAATCCAGCTAGATTCCATGGGCCAACCAATTTAGACATTACACAGCAGTGGGTGTTCTCTACAGGGCATTGGAGCTCAAAAGAATTCATCTTGAATTGGCACCTGACTAAATCTATTTGCTTGGCGCTTGGATTTAGCTTTCTAAGATAGGTAATACGGTAGGTAATACTGTAAAACATCTTTGCCAGTTGGAAGCTTATTGCTTGGGAGAGTCTCGCTAGTTTTCTTCACAAGAAATATTTCTGATGTGTTTCTAGTACGTTTTGTTGTTTTCTTTGGAGGCATTTTTTTTATTTATCTGAATATATATATATATATATATATATATATATATATATATATATATATATATATATATATATATATATATATATATATATACATATATAGAGACATAAAATAAATATAGATATTTACTGAAAATACTTTTATAATAACATTGCTAAACATCAAGTATTAAAGAAAGACAATCCTATACGGTCACATTAAGAAGGGACAACCTTAACAACGACTTTTTTGAGGCTATTCTGTAGCTGCTTTAAACGTTTAAGTCCGACTGTAAACACCGAAGGCACTGAAAAAGACCTTATAAAAGAGCAAAAAAAGGCAAAAAATCAACATTTTCAAAAAATGTAGTTGTTTAATTGACCCATTATTCAAATAATTAAACCTTAACATTGGATTTTAATTTATTTCTTATGCATAAAATTGCCAAAAAAAATTTAATTTTTTCAAAACTGGTCAATGGGAAGGGTCCCCGCAACTTGACTGAAAAAAGGGTCAAAAACGGCCTAAAAATGAACTTTGGACTCATTGCGCGGACTGTTAGAGTGGTCCAAATGTGATAAATTTTTTTTTTTTAGTAATATCAATGGTGGGGCACCATATGAAAAGCAATGTTAGTTGAAATTTTAAAAAGTCATTTTTTTGAAACACCTTAATATATATATATATATTTATATTGTATATATATATATATATATATATATATATAT